GGAGTTAAAGCATCCCATTCACAAGGGACAGCCTGCTAGAAGGGACAAAGGGAAGGATGGGAGACGTTGTCTTAAGGGGGAATAGAACCAGTTTTGTGGGGGTATCAAGTGTGTCATGCAATCAGCTTGGCAAGATAGGATGGAGCCAAATTGTGAAGAGCTTTAAATGATAAGGCATTTGGTTGGGGCAGCTAGGTGGAGCAGTGGATAGAGTACCAGCCCAGAAGTCAGGAGGACCTGAGTTCAAATATGGCCTCAGACCCAACACTTGACACTTACTAGCTGTGTGACCCTGGGCAAGTCACTTAACCCCAATTGCCTAAAAAAGATAAAAATTTAAAAAACAAAACAAAGATAAGGAGTTTGCTTTATCAGAGCAATGGGGAGCCGCTGAAACTTATTGAGCAGGAGCAAGGGGGTCAGAACTGTCCTTTAAGTTTTCAATTTGGCAGTTGTTTGGAGGATAGATTGGAGAAGTGAGAGACTTGAACAAGAGTTCAATTAGGAGGCTGTTGCACTAAGTCCAGGCTAGAGGTGATAAGGAAATGAACTAGGGTGATTGTGGTTTAAATAGACAGATGGCAAGAGATGCTGAGGAGACAGAATCCAAGACTTGTCAACTGATAAGATGTGGGGACCAAATTGACATTGACACTCCCTCACTTGTTCTTGGGCTCACTTCTTGATATGCTTTATTTCCTTGAGGGTCTCACTTTGTCTTTCATGAGACGCCTATTGTATGTTTTAAGCTCTAAGCTCAGTATCAGTTCTTTGGTAGTAATGATTTTAAACTGCCAAGAGTTTGTTTTTTGGTTCAGTCATTCTGAATCACGTCTTACTCTTTGTGACTGCATTTGGGGTTCTCCTGGCAGATATTGGAGTGGTTTGCCATTTCCTTCTCCAGCTCCTTTTACCGATGAGGGAACTGAGGCAAACTGGGTTAAGTGACTTGTCCAGGGTCACACAGCTAGTAAGTGTCTGAGATCTGATTTGAACTCACAAAGATGATTCTTCTTGACTCTAGGCTCAGCAGTCTATCCACTGAGCCACCTAGCTGCCCAAGAAAAAGATCTTAGTGATCACCCAATACACCTCAACACCACCATCACCACTAATTTTATTTTTAAATTTTACTGATTTTTTCATTGTAATGAAGAAAAGCGAAGTTCAGAAAAATTGGAGGCAGCTAGGTGGCACAGTGGATAAAGCTCCAGCCTTGGAGTCAGGAGGACCTGAGTTAAAATCCGGCCTCAGACACTTGACATTTAGTAGTTGTGCGACCCTGGGCAAATCACTTAGCCCCGATTCCTCACCAAAAAGCAAAAAAATAAAAATAAAAAAATCGACAGGAAGATTGCCTCTGAGTGGATGCAGCATGCATTCTGTACCTGTAGTTCTCCACTTTCACTGTTGTTCACAGCACTTAGTACTGTGCCTTGTAACAGATCTTTAGGACCAAGATGATAATGTCCACGTTTGTCCAGTAATTCTCAAGAGGATCTACCCAATACACTGGAGGTCGTCTTCTTGATCTTGCATGTGACTGCACCGCTTGGGTTGTCGATCTATCGTTCCTCATTCTGGATGCCACTTGCTTGCCTCCTCGTCATGCATGTCCTCCCCCAGTGTCAGGGTTTTTTTTTTTAGCCAATCACTCTTCTCTTGAGCAAGTTTGTTTTTAAATTACTGTATGCTTTTGGTTGCCCGTGGCATCATCTGTAATTTTAATTCTTCCAAAATCATGGTGTTGTGATTTACACCTTTATATAGCTCACTCAAATACTAGGTTTAAATGCATGGCTTTTTGGATCACTGGAAAACACTAATTTTTCCAAAGGCAGTCCAATCCAAATATTTCCTACTACTCAATTCTGGGTCTAGAACATGATACACATGCAGCACCCCCCTCAAGGTACTGATGATACTAAATGGACAATTTTGCCTATATGGCTTGCATGTCATAGTCTGGAGAGGGAGAAAGAACTTAAGTCACCCCTCCACTAATTCAGTGACACTTGACTCTATGAAGCTCCTTCCTGGACACTTTCGCTCTCAATACTCAATACATTTTCACTGGTTGCCTGGAACTATCCCTCATCCACACCTCCTGGCTTAAGTCTCAGTTAAAATCCCGTATTCTACTAAGAAGCCTTTGCCAAGGCCCTCTTAATGCTAGTCCTTCCCCTTCAGGAGATTATCTCCAATTTATCCTGTATATATCTTGTTTATCTCTAATCGTGGTCTCCCCATTCAAATGTTCCTTTTAAGGCAGACAAGGTGTTTTTCGTTTTTTCTTTTCTTTGTATTTCCAGTGCACAATGGTTGGCATACAGTAATCAATCGATCAATAAACATTTATTAAGTGCCTACTTAATGTGCTAGGCACTGTGCTAAGGATTCAAAAAGAGGCGAAAGACAGTGCCTGTACTCCAGGAGTTTACAAGCTAATGGAGGAGACAACAGGTGAACAAATATATACAAAGCTAGCTATACATAGGATAAGTAAGAAATAATTATCAGTGGAAAGGTGCTAGAATTAAGAGGGGATATAGGAAAGGCTACTTCCAGTAAAGATGGGAGTTAATAGAATCCAGGTAAATTGGTAGGAGGAGCCAAACAAATAATGTTCCAATTATGAGGGACAGAGAAAATTACTGGAGCTGAGAGACGGAGTGTCTTGTTCACGGAACAGCCAGGAGACCAGTGCCCCTGGATTATAGAGTATGTGGTAGTAAGCGGTTAATAAATGCTTAGTGACTGACATCAAGAGGTACAGTCACCACTGTAAGACTACAGAGGGGCACATACTATGATAATTTTTTAAAAAAAAGTTCTTCAGAAGACAGGTAAGCTTAACTGACTTCTTTAAATATTAATTTGGTTTTGCTTAGTTGTTTTTTTTTCTTAAAAAAAAAACCAAAAACAAAAACAAACCTTGTCATAAGGAATGACTGGAAATGGTAAGATATATACAAGGTAAAATACAAATGAAATAAAAGTTATTAATAAAAATCAAAAAAGTGCAAGTCAGGCCAAACCATTTCCTTTTCTGCAAGACAAGTAAACTATGGGAATGCTGTAGCCTTAACATACTTAGATTTCTGTAAGTCTTACAGGAAATATGGAAAGATGTAAAATGCATGACTGTATTTAGGTGGATGGATGCAGACCTGGTGGAACGACCAGACACAGGAAATGTTATCCTGGAGGGAAATCTCTGGCAGAACAAGAACTCTGTCCACAGCTGATGACCATCTTTATTAGATGTGATGATGGGAAGTTGGTCAAATCTATAGGTGACACAAAACTGGCAAGGTATGGTTAACATTTTGCATGACACGGACATGATCAATGTTGGAATTTGTTTTATCTAACTGCTTTCAAGGGTGTTTCCACCCCACCCTCCACCCCCAATTGGCCAAGTGGTGGTGGTGGTGAAAGAAAATAAAAATGTTGCTGCAACTCATGACCTCAATAAGGATTTATAGAAGCCTTCCTCAATGTATTTATTTTAAAACAAATCATTTCCTATGCAGTCCTCAAAATGCTTTAGGTTTGCAAAATTCAATTTGGAACTTGGAAATCTTTATTTCATGTAAATTCTTTTCATAGTTGACATGACCCCTTTCTACGTACAGTATTTATTGCCCATTATAGAGGCTGCTGGATGCCAGAGCTTAAGATGATTTGTATTCTTTCCCACTCCCACCTCCCCCCACAACAAAACCCAGGCTACTTATCTTAGGGAACACTAGGACATATCTGATCACTATCCTCACTTTACTAAGGTCCTTTGAAACAAATGATTCAGTGCCAAACTTTGCTGCTGTTTTATTATAGCCTTAGCTTCAGCTTCTACACTACGTATATTACAATGATTTCTCCAGCCAGTCCTATTCCTACTCTTCCTCGTGGCAGAGGGACAAGTATTTGAGCTGAGATGGTTCCACGTATGGGCCCTGGAGTTGACAGTTGCTTAGGAACCTGCCTAGTTCAGTCCATGTGTAAAGGCTTCTCACCACAGCCGGTCATCAAGTGCCCATAACAACTACAAACCACTGCAGAAGGAGTACATAATCTCAGTGGCTTCAGTACTGGGTCTCATATTTTATACTATCAAAAGCTGACCTTCTTGGATGCAAGCTTTTGGGTTGCAGAAAAACTCTTATTCTTCCAAAGAGAACAAGCCATTTCACCAGAAATTATGCATAAGCCAAGCAAATCGGAAACTAAATAGCAACTCAAATGTGAGGCACAAGGAACATCTGGATTAATTTCAGAAGGCTTTTGATTTGCTCAATAATCCAGTCCAAACTCTAAGAACTAGCATGTCAGTCGGGATAAGGCATTACACTTTGGCAGACTTTGGAAAAACAATCATTACATATTAAATATCTGGCTTCCTTATAACTACATACCAGGCAATAAGCCTGTATTGAACTGCACTGACACTCAAGCTTTTTTCCTTTAATAAGGAGACATAATTTTAAACAGCAAAAATGAAACTAAAATTAGGCGATTAGCAATGTATGCTGTAACCTTTAGCATCTTCTCATTCACGAACTGATACATAATTGCTTCAAGTACTAAGCTTGACAATAAAAATACTTGCCAGTTCTCCCACTCATTAGTAACTTTAATCAAATATATTTATATTCTTATGCAAATATGAAACCAGGAAAGTACAAGACATGGGCTTAAGCCCCAACTCTAACAGAAACTGAGAGGTATGATCTAAGGACATTATTGAAGACCTAAGGAAGATGAAAGCACTTGGAAAATACCAACTATTACACAAATTCCTTTCCTCTCCCATTGCCCTGACTGGGACTAAAGGCCATCCATCAACACAGGACACAAGCAATGACAGATCTGGCCACACAGAAATATTCAACTAAGATTATTAAATACCTCTGGGTTTTGCATTACCAAAAATAAACAAAAACAAAACAAACTTCCCTCAATTAGAATCAAAATCATTAAGACAGCGACCCCCAGTGGACACTTTAATCAGTATATTGCAAGTTGAACTTTGACATGGTAGTCTAGAAATGCCTAATTCCAACTTTAAAAATTTTAATGCTGCGGAAATTACGTATAAAGGCTTAAAGCTGTAAGCTCCTTGAAAACAGGTAATTATATAAACTTTGCATCTCATCACCTAATATAACTAATGTTGACTGAACAGCACAAAGGCAGTCTATCACAGTGTAAAGGGGTTTTGAATCCTGGTACTAGTTGTGATGCTACGCAAGCTGGTCTACCTAAGCCATGTCTTCATCCCCCAGTGTTGCTGAGGAACATGATATAAGCTCCTTTCCCTCACACCACCTCTAGCTTTTCTAAAACCGTGTACTTCATTTTGGACAGAAGTGAACTGATCTAACTTACGCACACATACCCCAAAGTACATTTTACTACATACACTTCAAAGTAACATTACTTCAGAAGTGGGGGTAGATGAGAGTGGGTTATTATGAGGAGCCTTTTGTGTAGGAACAAATACGCTTTCACAGTCCAAAGGAAAAACCAGGAGAGGTGAGGCTTCTTGGGGGCAGGCAGCAGAAATGAAACTCCTATCTTGAATGGTGTGATCCTGGTGAGACCAGGCCCTCCCTCCAAGTCAAGAAGCACAGCACTGAAATGTTTAAGCATTGTAGAATAAAAATTCAACCTCATTTTAAGTAAAATTCTTCTGGCTTCCAGTTTAGCTGCTTTTTTGGGTCAGGAGGCCTCTTGTGAACCAAAATTTGATCAAAAATCTTAAATGTTTTCTTACTGTTGCTTACTGGTCTTCTCAGAGGTGGGTAAAAATCCCAATAAAAGCTGAGAGAAGTCACAGATAACATGCTGAATTTTTTATAAAAGGTTCAGGACATATTTCAAATGAAAATTACTCATAATTTTATCTCAATGCCTGAACCAACATTGAGAACAGAATTTATAATGATTCATCACCCAAAACTACTTTAAAAAGCACATTTAAGGAAACTAAGCCACAAAACTGTTACATTATGATTTAATCTAAGTGCACAAAAGTTTGAAATCACAATGCCTCCCAGAATCTAGGAAGGTTAAGCATGCCTCCATATTTTCAGTTCTGCACTGTTACATTTGAGCTATAATGTGAATTTTACATCATGATGCTTAGTTTGGAATTCCCATGCAACACCTCAACTTATAGAATGGAAGCAATCTAAATTTAAGTGAGAATTGTTTTCATGCTTGAAAGCCTCTAAGGCTATTTCAATTTGGTTTACAATGAAATATATCCTGGAATTATTCATCTGAGCAAGTTTCAGTATCATGAACCCTGAACTGGCTTCTCTTATTAAGGAGTGGGCAACTATGATTACCTAAAATAACAAACCACCCCACCAAGAAACCACTCTCAAAATAATCAAGTCCAACTCATAAAATAGCAGCTTTGTGCAATCAACTGCTTTTATACAAAGAACTGTGATGAACAGTGGATTCAACTGGCTATCACACAAATAGGCTAGCTAGTATTTTATTACTCCAAAAGCACTTTAACAAGAAAAATATAAGTATGGCTTCTGATAGGAATGTTTAAACCTGGACTGCATGTACCAAGCTCATAGGCTGAATTAGGTTCTACAAGGAAAACTTTTAAGTATTCAAGTTAAGCAACAACTTGTAACCAAAACTTTAATCCCGAAGGTCTCACAAAACATGTTACAAATGACATCATGAAAAAAATCTTGCACAGTAACTCAAAAAGTTTCATCTCTACAATGTACCCTTAAACTCAAAGTTTGTGTGAATGGCTAATTTTGAATATCACCAGTTATTTACTCACAGTGCATCAACTACAAAAAGAATGTATGACCTTAAGTGGAAAAACAAAACTTCAAAATCTTTTAAGGTGTTCATTCAAGATAAAAGTCCACTTAGAAACAAAAAAAATTTTTTTTTCTTTTCGAAAACTGCCATCACACCTTTTGAACAAATGTCTTATTTTGGTATGCTTTTTACGTCCCAATTTACCTGCTGGCCTGTTCTAAGAAGAGCTTTGAAACACTGCATTATGTTTAACTGCAGCCATACATGTAACTCTGATGTGGACAAAAACCAAGGTTCTCTCCAACGTAGTCTCTCATTTTCCCCCCAGAAGACACAGTGTCAAGTGTTTTTTGGCCACTGCAGGCTTTACAGGTTAATTTGCAAACTGATGCAAAATAAACTGAATAGCAATCAATAGAAATTAAAATTTTGTTTAAGGGAACACTGTAAAGTAACAAATTCTTGGTATTACATGCCTTATATGATCTGTTTCAAACCATACAGATACACATCTTTACATGTGTCACCGTTACAAGACAATAAACAAATTTTAACAGCTAAAACATTTTAAAAATGCACTGAGCTTATGAAGGCTCAAACAAAACTTGTAATGTTCTGTACATGCTCCTGTCAAATGAAGGGCTACTTCCTGTACATCACTCCTCTTGAAGGCCGATGTTCTATTTCCTTTCGTTTGACCTAGAGCGACTGAACAAGGGGAAAAAAATTATTACATCTCAATACCTATGACTTGAATCTGATAAAAACATCTATATTTTGTCTATGTTAAGTATTTATTTAAAAATCACAATATATAGCTATTTCTGTAGCCTGCTCAAATTATTTAAGGAACCTACCTACGAGACCTGGAAAAGGAACGAGAAGGCTTATGATTTCTCTCCCGTGACAATGATCTCTCTCTTCTTCTATCTCTTGAAAGGGACCTAACAGCAGTAAAGGAAAGAAAGATCAGCATGACAGCTCAAATTGAAGTAGCTATTTATTCCAAAGAACTAGTTGGATTAGATTTAAAGGTGACCCATCTAACATAAAGCTTCATTCAACAATATTCACCATGCATCTACTATGAGGAAAATACCCTGACGGGTATTTGAGGACAAAAGTCTACTCTTAAACCTATACAATTCTTCCGTATACATATAGATAAGAGTAGAGGGGAGAGGGAAAAATCAAGGAAGACTGCCCAGATGGTGGCTAGCACCTGGGTTGAGCCTTCAAGGAAGTTATATATCCTGAAAGGCAGAGAAAAGGAGGGCATCCCGAGCAAGGTAATCAGTTTGTGTAAATGGAGGGGACAAAGATATAAAATGTTGAACTCGGGTAGAAAAATAGGCAGAAATAAGATTAGAGGGCCTTGAGAACTCCAAGTTGAAGATGCTCTCTCTTGTACCCCAAGCAAAATGTAGCTTGTAGGACAGACCCATAAATGTCTTGTGGGTCATTTGAAAATTCCTTATACACTTCAACTGACAAATATACAATAAAGAATTGCTGACAAGAACCCCCAATCAAAAATATACAATTGCTTTACCTGCTCCGGCTTCGAGAAAAGCTTCTTCTTCGTGGTGATCTACAATCAGAAATAGGACAAATTAGGCTCACCATCAATTTTAGTATTTATGGCGTGAGGCATTTCCCAACTTTTCAATCTCACTGTTGGGCCCAGTGATCGTGCCGAAGAACTGGCACCCATCGTCCAAAACAAAAAAGCACAGAAGGATTAAGGAACAAAAAGCTCAAGTGAAAAGCAGGTATTCCAACCATGAATTCACTTTAACAAAGAATGCTTCACAGCAGATCTGTCCAATGCAAAACTTCCACGTCAACTAACTTCACTACCCAAACACCACGCCAAAATGTAGTCCCACAAGTAGTTCCAAAAACAGTGCCATAGACCAGTATTTGGAACCCATGCAAACCTAGAAGTCCATGACAAGACTTAAGGTACCAAGTGAATAAAGTGAAAAACTGTGAAAACGCGCTCAGTGTAAATATTGATGCCATTAAGTGATACATTAGAACTGCATATTTGTGATTGTCACATTTTAAGAGTGTGTTTAGGCTTACAAAAAAATTACCTTAGCTTGGCCCACTTCACCCCAAAAATTGTTTTAAATTTTGAAAACTGTTAGTAAAACCATTTAAAGGTGATAGGATTCAACAAAATTTTGCTAGAAAAAAAGAAAGCTAAAATTTGTTAGAGATATTAAATTTTTAGTTTGGCATCTCACACATGCAAATGAGTTTTGCTTGAGGTTCTAGTTACATTAAAAGTTCCCTATCACCCTTAAAAGTTTTATTCAAGCAATATCTGTACGTTACCATTCAATTATGCACAGCCAGCCTTTGATCGAGAAAAGTAATTACTTAAGCCGCTTACTCCTTATTTTAACCAGCAGTAAACTGTATAAGCAGGAAAAACTTACTAGTTTTGGGTTTCAACAAGCTAGAAATGGTGAGGTGAGGCTGCCGGACTGACGGCCAGGAAGAATTTGCTGAAAAGGTTTTGCCAGATGTTGCGTTGTATTTAGTTGGTTGGCGAAGGGGGTGTTGTGGATTTTTCCTGCTTTTTTGTTAGCCGAAGGCTGCTGCTGTAGTTGTTGTGAAGACATTTGGTAAATAAACAGCTGAGCTGATTGGCCAGGAATGTGTGGGCGGTCGAGGTGGCTGCTGCCGATTTGGTTAAGGTTGGAGAGAAGGCTGAGAGAAAACAGCATGCTCGGGAACCAAAGGGCGGTGCAACCTGACGACTGGCCATGCCTGGGTCATGTGAAACGACACCAGCCAAGCTGAATGGGGCGCGCTGGTCACATGACGCTGAAAGGGCTAGTTGACTGGCTAATGCAGACTCAGAGGGTGGTGAGAAGAGACATGATGGTGACTCTGTAACGGGGTTCATTTTTATTAATAGATGGACCAAAAAGCACAAAAAAAAAATGAAAAAAAACAAGCCATCAGTACAACCATCTATTAGCTAACATATAATCTTATTACGATGGGCAACAAGTGTGGGGTGATTTATTTTGGCCTTTTGTTTGTTTTATTTTTAAAACAGCAGAAGGGGCAGTTTCGAACTCCCATCTCCTAAGAAGGACTTCACTCACCTTCAACAGGTAAATAAATTCAGTCCTGTAGAAATCATGTTGGAGATTTGAGGAGATGCAGAGAGCCTCCAGACAACAATGCCTGGGTCCAAGAATGATGTGCCATTTTTAATTATCAAAAAAAAAAAAAACAAAAAAAAACTGAAATTTCAGATTTGGGTTTGAAAAACTTAAGATGATTGGAATTACATCCTGTTTAGCCCCCTTTATTAGTGACCTAAGTTTAAACTAGTTTTTAAGATTAATTTCCACTTCACCAGTTGTAACATTCTTAACAAATATTACAATGTGCAAATAAAGTAGAAAGAAACATTTGCGTGGAAAGCTAGACTGTTGTTATGTCAAGTCTGTCATTATTGAGTCAAGAAATGGGAAATGGCCTAAATTGAAGTAAAAGGGAAGACTGGAAAAAGATGTGACTAGAAGATGAACTAAAATAACTTGAAGAAGATAGATCCAGGACTGAAGTTACTGACTATTAACTTGAACAGTGACCTAAAGACCAAAGCCAACATTCAGCATCAACTTACATAAAAGTCCCCACTATCGCCCCCAGCAAGGCTGTTTAAAAAAAACAAAAAACAAAAAACAAAAACAAAAAAACAAAACAAAAACACTTCAGGAATATCAGCAATAGATGTTACCCATCAACATGCTTTAGGGAAACACCTGCTCCTATATTGCTCTATGGTTTAACACCAAGGGCTCTAAACGCATTCCTTGATTCTAAAGTACCTGCGTCGGGGTGGAGGACTTCTTCTCCGATAATCATCCCTTGGTCGACGACCCCAAGAAGGTGGTGGACCACGATTACGACTTCTTTTCTCACCATTCGACAGTTCCACCCTTACCCGGCAGCCACAAAGTGTTCTTAAAGGAAAATACATATATGTAACTAAAAAATGTTCTTTAAAACACACACACACACACACACACACACACAAAAGCAACTAGAAACACTTTAGACACAGATCCTTGCAAAACATACCTTCCTAATCCAACCCTCTCATTTTACAATTGAGGAACTGAGGCCCTGAAACGTCATGACTGGTATGGATTTCAAATCCAGCACCTTTCCCGCTAAAAGCCCTTCGAACAGTGACATGTAAGTTTGGTGTTCTCTTTTCCTTCCCCATTTCAAATGATTTTATGCAAAATAGCTATAAGCATTTGCAATAAATAAGCATACTTATTCAACATTTAAGCAGCTATGTGTTTAAGACACTGGGAGGAATATCAAATTACTAAGGCTGATTGCCTCCCTCAAGATGATTATATTCCTATAGGATATAGCTGCTGCTTAAGACACACAAAACTTTCAAGGCAAGATGTTAAATGCAAAAAATGCCGAGAAATTTGGAGGTAAGTCTACAAGATCAAGTTCTTAACAGATCAGAGACCAAGTCTCAACTTTGTATCCCAATGCAGCAGACAACATTTGCGTTAAGAATTCATCTTTAAGCACTTGGGAACTCTAATACTGGTCGTCTCAGTTTACCAAATCTGTTTACTGCTGCTACCTTAATGATAACTATCTCATTTTAAAAATTGTAATTTGAATTTTAGCACTTTAAAATGGAAAACACCTTTACAAGCACACTTTATATGAGCTCACATGAATTTTATTCTACCACACAACTTTATACTCTGATTATCTGGTTGTCTTTTGTATTTTACACTATAGTTTATAAGTATATATTAACATGCCAATATTGAAACTGCCTGGCTTAGGCAGATGCAGCAAGATGGGAGTACAAATGAATGGGTTAGCATACAGGTAATTTAGGCCTAAGAAACAACAGCTGAACACTAGATGGCATAGTGCAGGTAAATTAAGCAGAAAAAACCCTAACCAATTTTAGTTTGACATTTTTCTGTGGTAGTTTTGTGATACCAAAGTACAATAATTCTGACAGCAATAAGAGCTGCCATCAATTCTAACCTTACCCTAATATTACTTTTAAAAAGAAACTTCAACAGCAACTCTAAAAAAATTAAGTCACATGCAGACTTGAGTAAAAAGAGATCCTATTTAGTAGTCTATGCAAATACTAACTTTACTGTGGACAAAAATCACATCAAGTTTGCAATAAATCACTAGTGATCTAGTTGTACAGTTTCACTGGCATCAGAGGGCTCCCAATTGATACTAATTGTGTGATGATGGGCAAACTAGCTATACTATATGCCTCAGTTTTCACTTCTGTAAAATAAAAGAATTGCCTTAAAATGTTGTCTATGTAAATAGTGTTATCATTTTCTGATGTACGATCCATTAAGTTATTTCTTCCAGTGAATTCAATGTGTAAATGTATAATTCATATATAAGTAGAAATAACTTTACAGAGATGATAGAGATATTACCTTCCATCTAGTTCTCTAACAGCATCAGCTGCATCTCTGGGATCTTCAAATTCAACAAAAGCAAAGCCGGGAGGATTTCTTGCAACCCACACACTTCGGAGTGGTCCATAATATCCAAAAGCCCGCTCCAATTCAGTCTTGTTGCCATTGTTACCAAGGTTACCTACATAAACCTTACAATCCAGTGGACAAGAGTCACGATGCATCTCTGTAACGAGACAATGGTAAATGGCAAAAAAATGTTTAGTATTTGCAAAACTTTAATTAAATCCTTTACCAGTATGACTTAAGATGCTTACTTATGTAATGATCACTAAGTTCACTCCAATAGAACATCAAAGACAAGAAAAGTCCAATAAATTTCAATTCACTTCTGCCAACTACTCAACCAATCCACCTCCCCCCCCAAGAAACTATCCTTTCATGCTTTTATATAGTAGCATATATGGGGAAGTAGCTCCAGAAGCACAGTGTTTGGTAAACCACCAGTGTCATTTCATTCCAAGATCCCCACCCCTAAACTGGCCCTCAAGTGCCCTTGAAATCCAAGACTTCTGTGGTCAGTAGTATAATCAAAAACCAGACTCATTTAATTACTCTTTCTTTTATATATATATATAAGCTTTCTGTAAGAAGTCTTACCCCTTCCTCCTTTGCTACTGTCTTTCTGAGATCATCTCCAAACTATCCTGTCTGTCTTCTTTGTACATAGTTTTTTTGGCATAGACTCTCCCAAGTAGATTGTTGGGATAGGGGAGCCAGGGCAAGAAACTATTTGTTTTTCTTTGAATCCCCAACCCAAAATAAGTTTAGGGCCTGGTGCATATTAAGTGTTTAACGTTTGTTCATTTTATTTGTAGATCAACTATTTCAGATTATCCTTCAAAAAGGCAAATTTATGCTGATATGAATATTCTTCATAGTATTCTCCACTACCTTTCATCAGTGGGCCATTACTGCTCTGTGTATCCTTGGTAAGAAATTGCATGAAGCCAAAGGGAAATAAGTAATAAACCTACGTTAAAAATTCAAATCCGCTGCATTCTTGGTTGTCACTCTTATCTGAATATCAATCCAATTTTTAATTTCATTGGACATAGTTTGGAAAATCTTAACCCAAAAACCAAAGATTTTAAGAAGGGGTTCTGAACCAAAACAACGAGCAAAGCGTCTCACCCACTTAAGTCAGACCAAACACATACTAGGTATAATACATGCCACACCCAACCTAAGAATTTTTCTGGGAAGCAAGTCAGTACAGGCTGCATCCAAATTTGGAGGTAAACACAAACTGGCCAAAAACCATTAAATAAAAAGGCGGACGCTCATCCCAACAGGCTCCAGGCCTGCGCCGAAGCCGCCTGCGCCAGGTACGGGGCGGCCTGCGCGAGCCCCGAGGGCTGCCGAGGTCTCAGTCTGTGCGCGGCACCATTAAACGGGAGCCGCTGGGGGAAGCGCCAGCGGCCACAAAGCGGCCGCGCGGGCCCCAACCCCCCCCCCACCGCGTTCCCCCTCCTCCTGGCAGGTCGAGCGTCCTCTCTCCAGTCCCCGCACTCGGGAAGCCGCGCAGCCGAGGCCCGAGGCCCTGCATTCCCCCCCACCCCGAAGCGCGGGAAGGAAGCTCTGCTCCGCCGAGGCCCAGCCCGCGGCAACAACCGAGGATCAATTCGTCTGGAGCGAGCCGCGGCTGCGCGAGCAGAGGCGCCATGAGCCGGGAGGCCGCGCCCCGCAGCCTCCGTTCCTCTTCCGGATGTGTCGTCCCCCCCCCCCGCCCCCCCCCCCCTCGCCATCCTCCCTCGTCAGTCCCCGCGGCTCCCCTCTCAGCGCCTCCCGGTTGCCCAGGCCCGGGTCGGGGCTTCGGCGGTCCCTCCCCGAACCCCCGAGGGCAGCTCCGCCGCCGGCCGCCGAACGTCACAAAATGGCGGCGGCGCCTCTTTGTCTGTGCCCGGCCTCGCTCGGGCCTCACGATTACGACTGCGGCGAAAAAGAACGCAACCACCCGCTCCGCTGCCCGTTTCCTTACCGGGTGCTGTGGCTTAACAAGCGGGGATCCGACTCCCACCGCTCGACTGGGTTTTTCCCCCCCCGCTCCTCCCGGCTCTGTCCCCGCGCAGCTGTTGCGTTACTCCGCCGACGTCCACAAAATGGCGAACGCCACCTTCGCCTCTCGACTTATATGCCTCCACCACAGACCACGTGATAGAGGGCTCTGACCAATCAGAGGGCGAGGAACGCCATGACGGACACCTCGGAAGGTCCCGCCCTTCGTCTTAAGTTGTGAACCACCGCTTGGACAGCGGTTGGTTGCTGGGAGCAAGCGTGGAAGCTGTGCTTGTCCCGCCAAGGAAGGCCCGCTTCCCCAGATGCCGAGTGCGCGCGCATTCTGTGTGTTGTGCCTGGGTGTCAGTCGGCCCCCTCCCCCCACCCCCCATTCCACTCCATTATTATCACCTCCGTTCAGTGTGCCAATGCATAAAAAAAAAATAGAAACCTATTCCAATACCACAGTGTAAAATGCTGTAGACTTTTGTAATGTAGGAGTCTGGCCAGATGTTCTTAGCATACATTCAGGGCCCAGGTATAGTGTTGTTGCCCTCCTGCAGACTGAATTGATTGAATTGATTGAAACAGAAGACTCAATAAACCCATCAATCAACTAGTATTTATTAAGCACTTATTGTTTACTAAGCACTGTACTAAGTTCTGGGAACACTAAGAAAGGAAACAAAACAAAAGAAAAACCAGTCCCTGCTCTCCAGGAGCTCATAGTCTAATGGAGGAGACAATATACAAACAAAAATGTAATATATTTTTTCATATAGGTTTATATAATATTTATAAATACACATATACATATGCATACAAACACATGTGTACATGTAATGTGTGCTCACACACGCCATCTACATGCATATGTGTTTATGTGTATATGAACATTCACACATATCATTCACATATATGAATGTGTGTATATATGTTCATGTATATATATAATGTGGAAGTACCCTTGAGATTAATGTGTCTGTTTTCTATGAATTACCTTACCGGGCAGATGGATTGGGCACAGAGTAAGCCTGTTTGTTGCAAGGAGCCAATCAGGAGCCTGTAGTGAGGCAAAGTCTTGCTTACTCCCAGACCTTTGCTTATGTTAACTAACTGACCTTGCTGAGCTGTGCCCCACCCAAACTGGCCCACACCAGCCTTTTGGTCAACTGTTCCTGCAAAATATATGCTCACCTGTTCCTGGGAAAGATTATTCATCCTTTTTCCCAATCGTTCCCTGAATCTCCCCTTTGTGGTTTTCCCCTGGGCTGTGGGCTCCTTTGTATCTTGTACTGGGGGCCTTGGCACTAGTGTCTGATTTTCCTCTTAATAAAACTTTTCTGCTTTCAATTCAGCTTGGACTCCTCTATATTTTGAGGGGTGGGCTTCACCTGATTGACATTTCTGGGGCGTAGAAAACAAACATATTAATCTCAGGGGAACTTCTACAGTATGTAAGTATATATGCATGCATATGTATATACCTGTGGCTCTAAGAAGCTGTAGCATGTGAATCGGCCATACTCCAGTAAAACCATCTCTGCAGATGGGCTAAACCAGGTTGAGGATAACTGACAGGCTTACAAACGCATTGATGAGTTAGGGGGATGTCTACTCTAAGTATGTGAAGACTTCCCCTGGCAGGTGTTACAGCAGCAATGAAGTTGACTGAAGCAGGCTCCGTTGAGTGCTTAAAACTTGGTCAGACATTTAAGATGCCAAGGTCATCCAATGCATCCCAGGTCATCTCCAGTTGTCCTGATTTTTGTCTTGCCACTGGACTTTGATGACTCAAGAAGAGAGAATGAGGCTGATGACTCTGCCTCACTTAAATCTAATTCACAAGAAAGTCAGGACAAATGAAGGACAGGGGCAGCCAGGTGGCGCAGTGGATAGAGCACCCACCCTGGAGTCAGAGAACCTGAGTTCAAATTTGGCCTCAGACACATAACACTTACTAGCCGTGTGACCCTGGGCAAGTTACTTAACCCCATTGCGTAGCCAAAAAAAAAAATAGTTTAAGAAAATGAAGGACAAACAACAACAATATAATCAATTAGGTAGGATCTCAGAGGGAAGGCACTAAGGTTAAGGAAGACTGGGAAAGGCTTCATGAAGAAGGGAGGTCTTTAGCTGGGACATACACCAAGCCAGAGAAACCAGGAGATGGTGATGAGAAGGAAGGCCTCCAAGCATGAAGGACAACCAGTGAAAATGCTCAGTGGGGAGTGAGCTAGAATGTCATATGGGAGAAACAGCAAGAAGGCCAGCATCCCTTGATCACAGAGTCCATAATGGTGAGGAAGGTATAAAAACCCTGGAAAGATGTGCTGACACTCTGAAGTAGGGAGAGGTCATGAAGGCCTTCATATGACAAAAAAAGATTTTATTTTTGACTGTGGAAATGATAGGAAGCCACTGGAGTTTATGGAATAGAGGGACAATGTGGTCAGATCTGCATTTTACCAAGTTCAGTTTGACAGCTGAGTAGAGGATGGATTGGAGTGGGAGGAGGCATGAGGCAGGGAAACCCACCAACAGGTTAGTTGGTATATAGTCTAGGCTGGGGTGGGGAACCTTTGGCTTCATGGACACATGTGGCCCTCTAGGTACTCAAATCTGGCCCTTTGACTGAATTCAAAGTTCACAGAACAAATCTCCTTAATAAAAGGATTTGTTCTGTAAAACTTGGACTCAGTCAAAAGACCACACCCAAGGACCTAGAAGATCACATGTAGCTTCGAGGCCAGAGGTTCCCAACCCCTGGTCTAGGCAATAGTCTAGGCATGAGGTGATGAGTGCCTGCACAAGGGTGGTGGCAGTGTCAGAGGAAGGAAGGGGACATATTTGAGAAATATTATGAAAGTAGAAACAACATAACTTGGCAACTGATTGGATATGGGGAGTGACATAGAAATTGAGGATGGTTTTGAGTTGGAGTGATTGGGGAGGATGGTGGTACCTTTGACAGTAATTGGAAAGTTAGGAAGAGTAGAAGGTTTAGAGAGGGTGAGGAAGATGATAAGCTCAGGGGGCAAAGTGGATAGAGCACCAGCCCTGAAGTCAGGGGGACCTGAGTTCAAATCTGGCCTCAGACCAAACACTTGACACTTCCTAGCTGTGTGACCCTGGGCAAGTGACTTAACCCCAATTGCCAAAAACAAACAAAAAACCAAAACATAACCAACAAAAAACAAAAGATAATAAGCTTAGTTTTAGACATGTTGAATTTAAGGGACATCCATTTTGAGATGTCTAAAAGACAGTTGGAGATGTGAGGCTAGAGGTTCAGAGAGAGATTAGGGCTAGACAAGTAAATCTGTGAGTCATTTGTATAGAGAAGATAATTGAAACCATGGGAGCTGATGCAATCACCAAGTGAAACGATATAGAGGGAGAAGAGAAGAGGGCCCAGGACAGAACTTTGGGGGACTTCCATGGTTGGCAGGTATGACATGGATGAAGACTGAACAAAGGATACAGAAAGGGAGTAGTCAGATAGATAGGAGGAAAAATTGTAAAGAGCAGTGTCTCAAAAATCTAGAGAGAAGAGACTATCGAGGAGAAAAGGGCAATTTATAGTGTCAAAGGCTGCAGAGAGGTCAAGAAGCCTGAGGACTGAGAAAAGTCTATTAGATTTAGCAATTAAGAAATCATAAGTGACTGGAGAGACCAGATTTTGTTGAATGATGAAGTCATAAGCCAGATTCGGTTGGAATAGACCTTGGAGCTCATGTATTACAATTTTCTCATTTCACAGGAAGGGGAACTGAGGCCTATGACAAGGTAATACCAGACATTTATTAGGATGAATACTTGACAAGACAGATATCTTTCTGCCTCATTTCTTTGCTTTATGAACTTCTTGTCTCTAATATGATTTTAAGATAGGGCAGTAATAATCTTTATTGTATATACTGTTATATATTAACAAAGCAGAATTTGGAGAAAGGATACATAATAGAACATATACCACACAATACAGAGTGAAGGAGCTCTCTCATGGGGAGAGAGACGACTCAGCTCAACTGAGAGAATCCCAGATATTACCCAAGGGGAGATTTCCCAAAGTCTCTACTGTAGCAAATTGGGAATAGGGACATGAAGGAGGCTGCTAGCTGCTCTCTTGTCTTATTTTATCTTCAGTAACCTGAAGTGGGGTTAGCATTGTTCTACTCTCTTGAAGCTGGAGGCCAGAAGCCCCCAAAGCAAATGCAGAGGCCAAAGAGAGGAAAGGGAGTTAAGAGAGTCTGAAGAGACTGCTGTGAATGAAGAGACAGCTCTGCTGTCACCAACTTCATCCTGACCCTCACACAGGCACTGGCCATTGATGCCCACCAATGAAGAGAGAATCTCATACCAATGGGTTTTGGATCTCTGACTACATAAGGATAACTGATCTGTGGAAGATGGAACAAAGCATTTGACAATGTCTCTTGACACACTTGTGGATGAAATGGAGAAATGTAGGCAAAATAATAGTGCAGTTAGATGACCGATACCAAGGTATAGTAACTCATGAGGTGATGTCAACTTTTCCAGAAGTCTCCAGTGGAATGCCCCAGGGATCTGCCCCGACCATGTTCAAAATGTTCAAACGTTCAAAATGTCCAAAAATTCAAAAATTTTGTCAATTAAGTGAATGAAGGCATAGAAAGCATGATTGGAGTCCTTTAAATTTGCAGATGACATAAAGCTAAGAGGGATAAAAAGCAAACAGAATCAGTATGCAAAAAAAAAACAACTCAATAGGTAGAATGATGAACCAAATCTAACAAAATGAAATTTGAGAGGGATTACCATGATGGTTTCAAACTGTAGTGCTGGTGAAGACTTTTGAGAGTCCCTTGGACAGCAGGGAGATCAAATCAGTCAATACTTAAAAGAAATTAATTCAGGCTATTCACTGGGAACTCAAATTCTGAAGTTGAAGTTTAAGTACTTTGGCCACATAATGAGAAGACAGGATTCATTGGAAAAGACCCTGAATTTGGGGAAGATTGAAGACGAAAGGAAAAGAGGACGGCAGAGGATGAGATGGATAGATGGTGTCATGGAAGCAATGAACATGAATTTGGACAGACTTCTGGA